ATTGTGTTATAGAAAAATACTTCTTCAATGAATTCCTGTAAATTTTATGCAATATAACTTGTTCATATGTAGATACCCCCCTTACTCTTCTGTCTGCACTCCCTTACTACCCTACCTGATTTCATGTATCTAAAATCTATATCACACCACCCCCATTGAACATTTAGTTTTACACAGTGATATTTTCTGCACTGATCTCATCCTATTTGTCAGAGCTAATGTATTTATTGTCTAGTTTTTTGGTATCATTTGCTTCCATCTGAATGTTAAAATAGTATCAATTTCATTTGTTATTGAGATAATAAATGTCTTTCCATCTGTCAGTGGGAGAGGCAGAGAGCAAGGAAAAGAGGGAGAGAGATGTTGAGGAGAGATTGGTGTGTTAGAAGTGGATAGTATTTCCCTATACCCATATACTTCTCTCACTTATGAATTATTACTATGCATTTTCTCTGTAATGATATATTCACAGAGTTAAAGTTTTTCTCTTCAAAAATTTTGTGTCCTTTGGCTTTTTTTCATAGCACCGTGTATCAAACCCAGACTTTGAGACTTCAAGGCAAGCACACTAACAGTCACCTGCATCCCCAACACACTTTGTTGATTTGTGCAATGCATATGACAAAATTAAGTATTGTATGCCCTGAATAAATGTAAGTTAATGTTAGAAAATTAGACTATATTATCCTCTTGGTTTCTTTACAAATTCATTGTTTTTCAGATAGTTTTTCTAGAATTTTAATTCAGGATATATTTTATAAAGATTTTGTTAACATATAAATCAAAACCACAAAACTGTTTGGAATTTTCTGTCTTAACCTCCCACTCTCTAACTATCACTGCAATACATATTGAAAGAGATATATTGAGAAGTTCATAAGGAACAGGCATGTATCAAGGAGAGTAAAACTGTTCATACTTTATAGGAATGATATAGTAATTGCATCTTACAGTAGTAAAATGCATTGTTGAAAAGGGGAAGACTCAGTGTGAACTCTTGGTATGTCTTTTCCTTCCTTTGTCTCACAGTAGGTAAACAGCAGATGACATGACCAACAACACGGTGGATAGAGATTACTTCCTCATGGAATTCTCTGACAGCAAGCAGCTCCAGGTGCTCCAGGGCTTCCTGTTTCTGCTGATTTACTTGGTGTCACTCATAGGGAACCTTTTCATCATCATGCTTGTCACTGTGGACCGGTGTCTTCACACCCCCATGTACTTCTTCCTGAAGAACTTGTCCTTCCTTGATCTGTGCTTCATTTCAGCCACAGTCCCAAAGCTCATTCTCAGCTCTTTGTCTCATAGGAGCACTATCTCTTTCCCAGGATGTGTGTGCCAGGTCTTGTTTGTGGTTTCCTTTGTTGCATCTGAAACGTCCCTACTCACAGCCATGTCCTATGACCGCTATGTGGCCATCTGTCGCCCGCTACACTATGAGACTATCATGAACAGGAGAGTCTGTGTGCAAATAGTAGCTGCCTCTTGGTTATTTGGAAGTTTTTTGGGGGCCTTATATTCATATGGCACCTTCTCTTTACCTTTCTGTGGCTCCAGAAATGTACCACAGTTCTTCTGTGACATCCCTTCTCTACTGAAGATTTCTTGTTCAAAGATGCATGTCACCATTGACATTAGTGTCACCTTTGGAATCGTGTGTGGATTTTTCTTCTTAGTGTGCATAGTGTCTTCGTATGTTTACATTTTCAATACAGTACTAAGAATGCCCTTGTCACAAGGGAGGTCAAAAGCCTTTTCTACCTGCATGCCCCATCTCATAGTTGTCACCACATTTTTAGTCACAGCTGTCACTGCCTATTTGAAACCAGTTCCTGATTCCCCACAGCTTTGGGACTTTTTGATATCTTTTTTCTATTCTGTGATGCCTCCATCTATGAATCCTATAATATACAGCCTAAGGAACAAGGAAATCAAAGTAGCTTTGTGGAACTTTTTATGGAAACTGAATCATTATGCGTTTTATAGGGGAAAGCATTCATAGTATGTAGAAAGGCGATGAAAATGTTTAGTATTAACAGCTATGTCTGTATTTCCAACTATGCATGTTCTTTATGACATGTAAAGGGTTCACTTTTGTAGTTTAGATAACTCATTGATTTAAAGTTTTAGAAAGAGGTTTACAGGTTCATAATCCTGAGTCAACTACAATGATCCCAAAACCTGCCTGAGCTGGGTATTTGTGGCTTAAAGTACATGTGTACATTTCTACCCTCAGAAATACTGTCACAGGCTTCTGAATGATGCAAGAAAACTATCCTCTTCAAACTAGTTGAGACCTCTTGATTATATTTCTTTACATTTCTAAGACACCTTGTATATGTGAGTAAGGTAATGTATTTGGAATAAGCAGCTTATCCTAGTAGTCACAATCAAATCAAAACACCTCTTACATCCTGAGAAGTTGTTAAGATTTTACGCAGAAAAATTGAGAAATAAATGTCCATGAGACCTTGAGGCTATATTTTCAATACTGAATGTCAAAGTTTGTTTGTAGATGCAAAATAGTTCCACCTCTAGGCCTGAAGACAGAAGAAACAAATCTTCCACTAGAGATTCTAGAGAGGAAAGCAGAATTATCTGTTACTCTTCCCCCAAGGATTTGAGCAAAGTGTGACTTGTGGACACTTTTAAATGGTAAAGCTGGAGAAATATTCATTGTTTTCTTATAATACAAGGAGTTGCTATGAGCTAATAAAGTATATTACCCTGAATCATCTTAAGTCATAATTTCTCTTATGAGCAGGTATGTACACATTAATGTCAATAAAGTTAACAATATTGGAAAGAACAAACACCCAACTTTTACTCTCAGAATTTTAAGTGCATATGAAAAATTCTATAGTTTTAGTTCATTAACTCACATGACAAACAAGTTTGATATATTTGATTTAACTTTTATTTTTGTGTTATTTCATGTGTATCATTTTGAAATCAGACTTTGACTTATTAATGCAAGACAGAATTTTCTTGTGTATGTTCAATTCAGTACGTACTCAATTCATGATTTGGTTAGAATTAGTTGTTAAAATTATTCTTTTTAGCTCACAGGTATTTTGAATCTAATTCCCCAATTTTTAGCTGTCTTTTAGGTTACTTTATGTTCTTTAAAAAATTTGGGTAATCTTGAAGACCAAGTTCAATTCCCAGCACCCACATGGCTTCTAACAATTTTCTGAAACTCCAGTTCTAGGAGATCCTATGTTATCTTCTAAATTCCATGTGTATTGCAGGACATGGGTGCACTTACACACATGCAGCCAATGCACTCATATATATAAAATAAAAATCATATCAAATATATTTTCCTGTTTGGAAAGATTTAAAAAATCGGCTGAAAGTTATGAGCTTAGCGTTTATTGAAACATCACAGAGTGAAATCAGCTCTAAGAAGAATTTTTTCTCTGGAGCCAAACAGTAGTTTAAACACAATAAAAACAGATTGGAGAGAGTTTAGATTGTTTACCTATTAGTTTTATGCTTTAAATTTCAGTGTGATGTGTGTAAACAGATATCATTACTGAAAATTGTTAGAAGCCATTTGTGACTGCTGGGAATTTTCAATCATCCTATTTGTCTGATATGTTGCTGTTAAGACCATATCTTCAAGGAGAAAATTCCCATTACAGAGTTAAGACTATACAGTAGTCTAGGAGGGACCATGTCTTAGTGTCTTCATAGATGGAAGTTAAAATTTATATTGAGATAAAACCCGCAAATCCCAGCTTCTCCCTTTGAAGAGAAACACAGGGGTGCAAATTGGACTTTCCATACTGTCTTTGGGAACTGTGGGGGAACTACTTTTTCTTCACTGAATTTAAACTCTGTTGGAAAAAGATACAGTCTGACTCTGAACACTGAACCCAAAAGTTAATACAACTGTCTTTTCTTTTTTTTTCTTTTTTTTTCTTTTTTTGGTCTTTTTGAGACAGGGTCTCCCTGTAGCCCCAGCTGTCCTGGAACTCACTATGTAGACCAGGCTGGCCTTGACTCACAGAGATCTGCCTGCCTCTGCCTCCTGAGTGCTGGGATTAAAGGCATGCACCACCACATCCTTTGTTTCTCTTTCTGCCTTAATAATTTTAGGTTATCTGTAAGACACTTGATAATTGTTCTTTTTGTTTAAGTCTTCTCTTCAATGCCTCGTTTAGTTATGTATGCCATAGTTCAATAACATATCGGATGGTCTCGTTAACATCTATTTTGTTTTATTTGTAGCATTAGATTCCTGATTTGTTATGATACCTTCATATGTTATCTTTAAGTACGCAGATCATCTATAAAAACAGAATGATTCATGGACTATTGTGTATTCAGGATTCATAGCTAAGTATTTTTTTCCCTCATTTTCTTGAGTGATGTTTCATCTTTCTTTTTACTCATTTTTTAAATTATTATTTCATGTGTTTCATGTTGCAGAGGGATGCACATATACAGGACAAAGGACAGTTTTGTAGAGTTGGTTCTCTGCTTCCACTTGTATATGGGTGCCAGAGATGAAAATCATGCCAGGCAAGCACTACATGCTGAGAGATCAGAACAGTCCTTGTGCTTGTGTGGGTGTGTGTGTGTGGGGGGGTGGGTGTGTGTGGGTGTGTGTGGGTGTGTGTGTGTGCACAGATATTAGGCTTCTGAAATTTTGAAAACTGTCACTCTTCACATCTTCATAAAGAAGAAGAATTTACCAGTCATACCACCTTGAAAGTCAAGGGGACAACACAATTTTTCTGAGGATGGATGAGTCTTCTCTGGACTTTGTGTATAATTTTTCAGTTGACATTTTCCTCTTTGCTTCTAATTCATGATTTCTGTCTAGTTCTGGAGGATCTAGACAGGTGTAAGCCAGGCATGGTTGTGCACACCTTTAATCCAAGCGCTCGGGAGGCAGAGGCAAGCAGATCTCTGTGAGTTCAAGGCCAGCCTGGTCTACATAGTGAGTTCCAGGACAGCTGGGGCTACAGGGAAACCTCATCTCAAAAAAACCAAAAAAAAAAAAAAAAAAAAGAAAGAAAGAAAACTTATGGTGTTAACAACAGGTCAGTATGCAGGCAAAATGATGATTTATGGTAATTCTAAAAGGAAACAGGAAAAAGGGACCAGATATTCTACGAAAAATTTGGTTGAGAACTTCAGATATTTTTTGAGCATTACGGACACACAATTTCAAGAAGTTTAATAGATGTCAGTAAAAGTAATCCCATTTAGCTCACCACAAGACACATTGTAATTCCACAGTCAAAAGTCACAAAATTCCATTGTATACATGAAACCTATTTTCATTATCCATTTATTAGCTTGCAATCTAGGCTGATACCATTTTCTAGCTATTTGAATTGAGAAAATATGAGCATAGATATGTAAGTATCTCCATGTTAGGGTATAGAGTCTATGGGGTATATTCCCAGGAGTGTGATAGCTGGTTTATATGGCAATTCTGCTAGGAGATTTTTGAGAAACCCCCACACTAATTTCCATAGTGGCCACACCGGTTTACATTCCTACCAACAGTGTAAAAGGGTTTCCTTTTCCTTGTATCCTTGTCTACATTTATTATCATTTGTTTTCTTCATAATGACCATTCTTATTAAGAAGAGATGGAATCCCAAGTAGTTGGGTTTTTCTTTATATCTGATCAACATTTATTTGAAAGCATTTAGGTTTGGATAATTATTATACAATACTTAAAAGTACAGCCTGATGTAAATGATCTTCTGGGTGTTCAGCAACCATTGCTGGAGTTCACTGTACCTCTCCTGCTGCAGTCTGCAGTCCCTCAGAACTACCACAGTGTTGTGATTGATCTGAAATATTGCCTTTTTAAAGATTTGCCATTTCTCTGTCTACTTTCAATAAATAGGCATCCATGTCTTTTTTTAATTTTTACTTTATTTTATATATTTTTATTGAATTACTTGTGCATTTCACATCTTCTTTATACCCCCATCCCCACTGGCATACTTGTATAGCCCCTGCACTGGAGCCCATATAGTCTGTCATCCTGTTAAGGCCTACTGGGTTGTCAGTGCCCCCAGCCTTTCCCAAATGCAATTCTGCCTACTACGTCTATTCAGCCTATCTAGGTTCCTTTGTTTTAGAAGGTCAGCTGTTCTTCATCTAGCAGCAAACACTTTGTACATTCCTTCAAGATAAAATTGAAGTCTGCTGTTCATATTCCCATTTCTATGATGGGTTATTGTCTGGCTGAGTTTGCATAGGACTTGTGTATGCTGACATCTTTGCCATAGAATCATATGACCAGGTTCCCAGGAGCTCGTAGGACTCTATTTTTATATGGTCATGTACCTCCTCCCTGGCTCTTACAATCTTTCTTCCCCTATCTTCTGCGATGTTCCCTGAGCCTTGAGTGGGTGAAGTTTAATAAAGAGAACCTGTCCAAGGACCATCATTCAACAGACTCTTGATTTTTACACTTTGGCTATTTGTGACTTTTTGGGTTCCTGGTTCTCCACTTCATGAGGGGGCTTCATTATTGAAAACTGAGAGATTCATTAGTGTCCTCTTCATTATCCCTATTCTGTGTTCCATGAGCCTTAGGTGTAGAGTTTGCATTATAGATGTGTCACTTAGGCCTGGGCAATTCAGACACAATGTCCATGTGAGACCAGTTGTAGCATTTCATAATAGTTTCTGACTGATGCAAAATGAGCTTCTTTGATGAGTGGTGACTGGGATATGTCTGTAAATAGAAGGATACATATTTTCCACATAGGAAGAAATCACATTAGTCTAGCAATGTGACATTCTTGAGGTTTTCTCCAAGATCTCTGACGACTCCAGCCACATATATTAGGTTATGTTTAAGTACCACACATGAGTTTCCTCCCTTTGAGTGGGATTTTAGTCAAATTAGGTAGCTGTTGCTTGCCCCCAAGATAAGAGGGCCACTACTGCACCAATGATGTATGCTGTTCTTGCCATTAATGTGGTTATTCAGTCTTGAAGCTGGGGTTGGATCATACATTG